TTCTTTCTTTCTTTCTTTCTTTCTTTCTTTCTTTCTTTCTTTCTTTCGACAGGGTCTTTCTACATAGTCCTGCTATTGTGGAACTCACTATGTAGACCAGCTGGCTTTGAACACACAGATATCCATCTGCCTCTGCCTCCTTTCTACTGGGACTAAAATTGTGTGCCACCATGCCCTCTTTCATGTAGTTATCTTAACAGTTAAACAGTAGAGACCCTGCTCAGGGTGAGGGGGCATTTCTACCATATCTTCTTGCTTGCTCTGAGCTCTCTGAAAACAGCTCTTCAGGAGGCCAGGGAGATGGCTCAGTTGGCCGACCGCTTGCTGCACAGGTGTGAGGACCATAACTTGGCTCTCCAGAACTTTTATAAAGAGCCAGGTACACTTGTGTGCATTTGTAATTTCAGCAGGGGCAGAGACAGACAGAACCTGGCCATGGAACTGCAGATTCAACGAGAGACCCTGCCTCAAAAATAAAATGGAGAAGCTGCGACATACATCAGTAGTTAAGGGTACTTGCTGCTCTTCCAGAGGACCCAAGTTCAGTCCCTGGCACCCGAGTTAGGCAGCTTGTATTGTATCTCTAGCTCCAGGGGATTTGACACCCTCTTCTGGCTTCTACAAGTACTCACACTCACATATACACATAAATAGTAAGTAAACAAAACATTTTAAAAGGCTTACCTTAAAAAAAAAAAAGTGACGACTGATTGAAGAGCACCTGAGGTTAACCTCAGGCTTCCACAGGCATGGACACATGGTCCATATGTAGTTAACACACGTGAGCACACATGGAGACACACACAAGGGGCTCTGCAGTATGTGACAGGAAGCAAAGAAATTTGCCTCAAAGAAATCGGGCGTGGAGTGGACCTGTGGGATTCAGGTTATGTGAAGTTCTAGGATGGGAGGTATAAATAATGGGAGCATGAGAGAGCCACAGCTGTGACAGGCCCTAGACCTTAGCACAACTAAATCCATGATGGAAGAACCACTCAGGCCATAAAACCCAGCACACAGACAGTGCCACCTGCCAAACTGAAAACAAAGACCTGCACCATCAAAGTCCATAGTTCTGGGAAAGTCTCTAAATGTACCAACCTTGCTTTTGGGCTTCTGTAGTTCTGCTTCTGGCTAACTGTTCTTGTCAACTGAAGCGTGCCAACCCAGAACATGGTTTTTGTGCTCAAAACTCACCCTGAGAAAGGTTCAGTGCTACACTGGGGTCCTGAACATCCAGTGTAGTCTCATGCCGGCTAATAAAGCCTCTCTATTGGCTTAGAGCCATGTCTAAGCAGTCTTCTCTGGTGGATACCCCAGAACACAGGGTGAGAGTAAGGTAAGTTCTGTCCTTGCCTGGCTGTGATTGGAGCTACATAGTTGCATTCCTGCTCAAAGCCATAAACTCTTGTTGTTTTGTGGTCTGGAGACAGGGTATCAATGTGGCTTTGTCTGGCCTGGAATTTACTGTGTAGACCAGGCTATCCTTGAGCTCATAGACCATCCACCTGCCTCTGCTTCCTGAATGCTGGGATTAAAGGTGTGTGTCACCACACCCAGAGGTTGTCCAAGTCTTGCTTAGCACGTGTGAATCCTTGGCCTCAGTGTCCAGCGCTGCAGGTCGGCCTGGCTCCCTCTGCAGGCAGTGCCAGTCCACATGCTTGCTACCTCCAGCCTCGAGCTTCTCCTCCCCCTGGACACTGGCGTGTTGTCATTCTGGCCTCTTGGATGGGCTAAGCAAGACTGGTGAGGATCTGCATCTAAATTTTCACCCACGAAAAGAGAGAAGCAGGGCTTGTTCCTTCTCTGGCTCTCCCAGGCTCCATTTTGCCTCTGCATTTCATTTCCAAGGTGCCTTCCTTCCCAACACTCTTGATGGACCCTGGTCTGAGGCAGGCAAGTGGGGGGCTTGGCTTTGGCAGCAAGACTTGGGGGAGACAGCTGGCCAGTCACAGTGTGCTGGCGGCCTGGTACCGCCCTGCTTGTGGTCCACGGCTGGGGTTGAGCACTGGACACATGTACCACCTGTCCGGGATGCAGGCTCTTGGCTTCTGGATGCCTTAGTGTTCCACACGGGGACAGCTCTGCGCTCACACCCTGAAGGGCCCCCACTCTCCTGCGGCCTCATAGCTTCTCTTGGCTGAGTCGTGGCCTGCGGCAGGAAAGAAACGTCACCACACTGCCCTGTCCTGCAGAAGAGCCAGGGACCCTTTCCAATAGCTGGGCCAAGGCCAAAGGTCTGGAGAGGGTTGCTTTCGTTGCAGTGTGAGCAGACAGCTGGCAGGATGAGCTCTAAATGAAAACAGGACTGAGCTCTGAATCAGCCTGTACCAGAGCCAACTACTTGGATCAAGGCACTCCTTGGCTTAAGGCCAGATCTGGCTTTTTGTCATTTTGCCATTAGAGTATTCCATGGAGCGCAGGCAGATGGGCAGGCAGAACACGGGTATGGGGAGGACTGGAAGGGACGTTGCTGGTGCCACTTGGGCCGAGTTATGCCCAGTGCTGCCAACCCTTCTTCCCAGAGCAGCTTGGTGCTGTGCACGTGTGGCGGGGATGGCAGACATCCCGGAAGGCAGCCTGCGTGCTCTGGGAGCCCCAATGAGCGGGCAGAGACCACTCCCATTACCTGGGTTGGTTGGTGCTTGTTCCCAATGCTTACTTTGGCTTCTCTGGTCTAGATTTGGTCTCCTAGGGCCCTCCCTATTTTCTGGAAGAATGATCCCGGGGTGTAAGGTCTAGGGGGGTCACTTGTGGAGGTTCTGAAGAAAGCAGCCCAGTAAAGGGCCATGCTCTAGGAAAAAAAAAAAAAAAAGAGGATCCTAGGAGTGTATGTTCCTCCCCTCTCTCCCTCAAGTCCCAGGGTGAGGGATATGGCCCACAGGTCCAGGCTGCAGCTGGGACAGAGTCTACACAGCACAGACCAGGGCTTTTATTGCTTGACCAGCACATAGCACAGGAGGACAGGAGGACAGGTCTGTGCAAATAGGCTGAATGGGTCAGAAGGGTCAGTCCATGGTCCAGGGCAGGCAGAGGCCAGAGTCACCCATCTCAGACCGGTAGACAGCATTGAACTTTTCAGCCAGCTCAGGAGTAAAGTGCTCCCTCCAGTTCCCCACAACACCTGGAGGAGTAAGAGCAGACTGAGTCAGGCAGTGAGAGAAGACGGCAAGGATACACCACAGCCAACCCCCAAACAGACTGGCTATTGTCTCTCCATCACCACCTTCACCTCCCACCTGAGACCTGGGAACATGACTTGATTTAGAAATCAGTTAAGAGGTGATGATGGTGGTCTAATCTAGTAGCTGGTATCCTCAGAGAGTACGGGAGGAGAGCCTGTGGTGGTTTGAATAGGAATGGCCCCATGGACCCATGCTCGGCCCATAGGGAGTGGCACTATTAGGAGGTGTGGCCTTGCAGGAGGAAGTGCGCCACTGTGGGGGGTGGCCTTTGAGTTCTTCTATGTTCATTCTATGCCCAGTGTGGCACACAGTCTCCTCCTGGCTGCCTGTGCATCAAGATGGAGAACTCTCAGCTCCTCCTCCAGCACCTTGTCTGCCTGCACACCGCCATGCTTCCCACTGTGGTGATAATAGACTGAACCTCTGAAACTGTAAGCCAGCCCCAATGAGGTTTCCTTTAGAAGAGTTGCCATGGTCATGGTGCCTGTTCACAGCAATGAGATGCTAAGACAGAGCCTAAAGTGATACACCAGAAACTGTGAACATTGGAGCCACAGGAGTAAAAGAGGCAGAAAGATGCCTTGCTCTGGCTTCCAGGGCTGTGTAAGAACTTCCCCTCATCTGTGTACTTTGGATGGAAGTCAAAGGATGTGGCCATAAGCACCCAGGACTGGCCCATCCTGAAGCCACATTTGGCTGGGAGCTGAGGGCCAATGTCTGGCTTCGTGTACTCCGAAGAGCTGGGCTAAGGTTGTCTTGCTGGAGACTTTGAAGAAAGTTCAGATTCTTCTGACAGTTGAGAGAGTCGAGGCCCAGTTTACACACAGGCCAGCTATCCTGGCGCACAGAATGGACAACGATGAGGGGTACTTGCAGTGGCCATTAGGACCCCACAGGCCTCTTCCTCTTTTCTACATGGAAGCATCCCACACGGTACTCAGGTAGATGGAGATCTTTTCCACAACCCACTCTTCAGAACTGGGTGTTGGGGCTGGACTCAGGTGGTGGTAGAGCACATTGCTCATGACAATGGTGAAGGTCAATTTCTTTTCAAGTCCTGGACTCACTCTGTAGACCAGGCTGGCCTCAAACTCACAACAATCAGCCTGCCTCTGCCTCCATGAGTGCTGGGATTATGGGTGTGCACCACCGCCCCTGGCATGAAAGTCAGTTTCTTTTGGAAGTGTTGAGAGAGGTGAAGTTGGGGCACACTTGGAGAGGTATTTCAGAAAGTCAGGGAGCTCTGGGAGGGGAGGTATGAGACAGAGCTATAGCCTGGTATGAAAGGAGCTTCCTGTAAAGGCACCATCAGAAGACAGTGGCTCAGGGCCTGGGGCTGTCTGCAGCATCACACTGAGCTGCTGAGGAATGAGGAAGGCCAGGGAGGAAGGTGTGGGAGGTAAGTAGATGGGGCAGGCTGGGGGGCCTTAATCACATACATAAAGATGGGAGGCCAGGCGTAGTGGTGCACGCCTTTAATCCCAGCACTGGGGAGGCAGAAGCATAAGGATCTCTGGGAGCTCAGAGCCAGCCTGATCTACATAGCAAGATCTAGGACAGCCTGGACTACATAGAGCCCTGTCTCAAAAACAAAAACAAAAACAAAACAAACAAAAGGTAAGGGGCCCTTGTCATTCGGATGGGGCTGGCAGGAAGGCCTACCTTTCCTCAGGAACTCGCCCTGGCTCTGGTCTATGATCTCCTTGGGCAGAAGGCTGTAGTTGACCATGCTGCTCTGCCTCATGAAGGAGAAGCTGCAGTGTTCCAGTGTGAGGTCCTCCTCTCTGCGCCCCAGCGGGCGCCCCAGGAAATCACTTAACTTCCGGATGGTACGGCGAGGTTCCTGGACCCAGAGGAATGGATGACGTGCTTAAGACATTAAAATAGCACAAGTGGGGACTGGAGACACAGCTCAGTGATTGAGAACATATTCTGCTCTTGCAAAGGTCTCAAGTTCAGTTTCTAGCACCTTTAATTCCAGCTCCAAGGGATCCAAGGCACAAATATCCACACACACCCCTAGACACATATGTAAAAATAAAGACAATAAGCCTGGCAGTTCCAGAACCTGGGGAGGCAGAGTCAGGCAGATCTCTTGTGAGTTTGAGGCCAGACTGGTCTACATACTGAGATCCAGGACAGCCAGAGCCACATAGAAAGACACTGTCTCAACAACCCCCCATTATATGCTAAAAAATAGAATGAGTAACTAGAAGTGTGAACAGTCATGCTCACTTCAGTATTATCCGTTACAGGAAGTAGCTGGAAGCAGCATAGAATCCAACCATGAGGGGAATTTACTTCTGCTGTCCTTACCCCCTAATATTTGGGCATCATTAAGTGTGCACGGGTTGGGTGCTGGAGAGACGGTTCAGCAGTTCAGAGCACCTGTTCTGGCGGGGGGATGAGGTTCAGTTTCCAGCACCTGCACAGCAGATCACAGCTGCCTGTGACTGCAGCTCTAGGAGAGCTGAAACCCTCTTCTGAGCCCTGAGGGAGCCAGGCATGCATGCGGTGCACAGCCATACATGTGGGCAAACACTTACACACATAGAAAATAAAATTAATCAATTAAAAAAGACACAGGGAGCTAGGTGTGGTACCACCTACCATCTTTAATCTCTGCACGGGGGGATGGGGGAGGAGGCAGAGGCAAGTGAATCTCTGTGAGTCAAGGCAATCAAGGCTAGCCTGGCCTACACAGCAAGTTCTAGGTCAGCCAGGACTACACAGAAAGGGCCTGCCTCAAAAAAATAAATATATATATATATATTTATATGTGTATGTACATCCATACACATATATGTGCATACATAATACAGACATACATACATGCATGCATGCATGCATACATACATACATTGTGTTGCATGGGAGTGCAAGCTTCGGATCGTAGAGCTGGAGAAGTGGAGTTGATAAGGCCCTTCCGGAGCCCAGAGGATTGTGGGTGGGTCCCCAACATCACACTCTGAACTTGTTACACTGTTAAATTTTTTAAAATGTATTTATTATTTATTATTTACACAGCGTTTTGCCTGCATGTACGCCTGCACGCCAGAAGAGGGAGGGCACCAGATCTGACTAAAGATGGTTGTGGGCCACCATGTGGTTGCTGGGAATTAAACTCAGGACCCCTGGAAGAACAGCCAGTGTTCTTAACCTCTGAGCCATCTCTCCAGCTCTCCAGTGAATCTTTAAGGACTGTAGGACTTTTAAAAGACAGAATGTAGATGATGCAATGGGACTAGGGTCTACGTGTTGATTAATTGGGGTTTTCTGTAATAGCATCCATCTGTTGTAAAGCAGAGTTTCCTCGATGTGGTATGAAGACTACACTTATCAACAGGTATAAGAGCAAAACGTACAAGAACATTATATGGAATGAGAAAGTTGTATCTAGAAATTCATATGCACGCAGAGACCATGAAAGAAAAGGCCATAAGAATAGGGAGGGCTATGTGGGAGGGTTTAAAGGAAGGAAAAAGAAAGGAGAAATGTTATGATTATAGTATAATCTCAATAAAAGTATAAAAATGTACTCTTTAAAAATTATTAAAAAAAATTAGTTGGGCATGGTGGCACACCCCTTTAATCCCAGCATCCAAAGAGGCTGTGAGTTCAAGGTCAGTCTGGTCTACAAAGTGAGTCCAGGACAGTCAGGGCTACACAGAGAAATCCTGTCTCAAAAATTTTTTTTAATTAGAATGTTTTATATTGTGATGTCGCTATTAATATGAGATGTTTGGGATACATAAGAAACGAAAGGTTGCTGTTTAAAAGTGTTGGTATGTAAGTTAAGTAGGGGGTCAATTGTCCTTGTGGCTTCTATTAACTTGATGCAAATCTAGACGTATCTGGGAAGAGGGAATCTTGAAGAAATTCTTTCATGAGTTTGGCTTGCAGGCAAAACAGGAGTATTTTTTTCATTAATGACTGACATGGAGAGCCCATGTCAATGGGACACAGAAATTAAGGCCCCAAGAAACACAGGAGGGGTCTCCAGGGCAGATGGTCAGGTGCTGTGGCCGAGAAGTGGCCCATCAGGCCAATGGCCATCAATGGCCAAGGACTGGGCACACAGAATAAAAATCTTGAAAAATGAAACCTCAAGTATAATATGTTTTTGTGTTTAGGTCATGTTGTATTTGGCAGTCAGAGATGTCATATCTTTAAAGATCAATAAATGCTTTGAAAATTGAGCTTTAATTTTTGTATCAAAATTCATTTGGTTGGAAAGGCCTGAACCTCTCCTGACGTGAATCTATTCATGGTCCTCTTTGTTTGCCTTGTTCTAATGTCTGGAGGCCAAACCAGTGTTGTCTGCTGGGGGCAAATGTGCACAGTTTCTAAGAGTCAACAGACGTTGGGTTCCCAAAAATCCCTCGGCACACACAGCCTCAACAGCTGGAGCTGGTGCCGCCGGCGTCGGAAAGGTCAGCCTTGTGAAGAAGCGGATTTTGTCTTGTTATTCTGAGTTAAAACCTTGCTGTTTACACATAATATTGGAACAGCTCAGAGAACTCAAGGTTCTCCAGCATCGTGCATGCAATTTGCCGGCTGTGCCAGGGTAGGCTGAGTAATCGGAAGCCTGTCTGTTTCCTTACAGAGTGCAGGGACCGAAAGGAGAGCAAACCGCCTGGACGAGCTCTTTAAATGTTCACGCGCAGTCAAATTCGAATCAAAGAGTACGTTGATGAACAAACACAGCAATGACATTAATATACAGAATGCATAACTTAAGGCGGGGTGGGGGGAGTCAGTTCTCTACTTCTGGGGACACCAGGGCTTGGACTGGGGGGGGGGGAGTTGGCTGTAGGTGGCCTGTTGGGTCTGTGGAAGGGGTGCTTACCTGGTGCAGCTCCTCGTAGGTAACAAAAAGCAAATTGAGGTCCTTCTGGAGGCCCAGCCAGCCCTTCACATGGTCAAACCAGGAGCCGAAGAAGCCTGAGGAGGGAGGAGGGAAGGTATTTCAGCCCCGGCGGCATGTGGCTGTGGCTCAGGAGGAGCAGTGATGACCCTTGGGGCATCTGAGCCTGGAAGCAAAGCGGCTGCCCAGCAGCTGGGGGATGAGGGGGCTCTCCCTGAGACCCACCTGTGCCCTCGAGAAACTCATCCACAAAGTCTTCAAAGGAGCCGGGGGTGGGCAGGAAGCCGGCTATTCGGTGGAAGTGGTAGAAGGAAACCAGAACGTCCTTGGGGTGCCGAGCCATGTACACCACCTGGTGGACAGAGCTCTGAGGGCCGGGGCCTCCCCAGCTGCTGTGACCTGAAGCAGCAGAGCCCTGGGCCCCGGCTCCAGCCTAGAAGTGGGGGTGGGAAGAGCTGCACAGTGCTGGCCTGGGGCCCCCGACACAGCCGTGGTAAGGTGGATACCAGGCATGGGTCACACCTGATCCCCGAGTGGCACCAGGCGGAGTCTCATGTGGGTCATTGAATGCCTCTGGAGACATGTTTTGGTTTCTTTATTGTTACATTTAATTTTTTTAATTTTTAAATGTGGTAACACCGTTATCGCACTGTCATTCACTCCCTCAGGTTCCAGGCAGCTTATGGCCGCTATCACCCCACAGTGAGTGGGCCGACCAAGGTTCCACCAATCTCCAGCGCTAGGAGTCTGGTGTCGACCTGTGTCTGCTTGAGCTCCGCTGGCTCCTCCCCCTTTGGACCCTCTTGACTCCCCCAAAGCCTGACTCCATCTTGGGAAATGCTCAGGGGCATGAAGGCGCCTGTCCCTTACCTTGGCCTTGGACTTCCTCAGAGCTGGGGCCAGGCCGCTGGCGTTCAGGTGGGAGGTGAGCAGCCTAGGCCAGGAAGTGTTAAGCTTGGGAAGGAGGCTGCTGAAGGAGGCTTGTTCTATCCAGGGCATGCGGGCCCAGTTGGGGAGGTGGTGAATCGGCCACAAGTCGCCCTCACAGAAGATGAGGCTCAGGACCTGCTGCATCCATGTGGTGCCTGCGAGACAAGGGGTAGGGCTGTGGGTGGGCAGGCGACGGGGCACGGCTACTTCCAGCTAAGACACTCACCCTTGCTCACTTTCCCCTCAGAGCAACAGATGTATTGGTGCATGTTTAACGGCGTAAGCAGGATGGTGAAGAGTCCGAAGCAAAGCTTCCTCCCCTGCTCTCGTGTTCTATCTTCCAGGGACCACAGAACCCACACCTGGTTCAGAACACCCTGCCACTCTGTGCTCCTCGTTTCTGTTTGAGACCTTAATCAGTTTGTTTGTTTATTGAGACAGGGTCTCTCTACATAGCCCTACCTATCCTGGTGCTCGCTGTAGCCGAGGCTGGCCTTGAACTTACAGAGAACCCACCTATCTCTGTCTCCCGAGCGCTGGGATTGAAGGTTTGAGCCACCACACCCGGCTGTCAGTATAACTTTTATCACCATATTTCTGCTAAATGCCTATACATAAGCACTTAGGGGCTTCCTGGACCCTCATCTCAGCCACAGCTAGGTAACTTCCACTTAGTGATTTTCTAAAGAGCTTGGGCTTTCTCTACAATATCTCCATGTTTCTGTCTTCCCCCTTCGTCCCTTTTTGGGGTCCTACAGGTGGAGCCCAGGGCTGTGTCTGAATTAACTGAGAACTCTACCACTGAGCTAAACTCCAGCCCATTCCTCTTTTCTTTCTATGTCTTCACCACAGAACCGCATTCGTGCCAATATAGGCTTTTCTTAACATGCACCTAAAATCTCTTCCATGCATTCTCACATTTAAAAAAAATATTTATTATTTATGCAGCAGTCTGCCCCCATGTACATCTGCACACCAGCAGAGGGCACCAGATCTCACTATAGATGGTTGTGAGCCACCATGTGTTTGCTGATATTTGAACTCAGGACATTTGGAAGAGCAGCCAGTGCTCTTAACCCCTGAGCCATCTCTCCAGCCCACAATCTCATATTATTAAAAGTTTTTTGTTTTGTTTTGTTTTTTTTAAATAGTAGGACCCTAGTTTCTAGTACCAGTTTCTATCTTTCAGCCCTAGTTTGTTATTTAAAAGCATGTTTTGTTTTGGGGATAGGCTCAGTGGACGATCACTTGCCTAGCATCATGAAGCTCTAGGTTTTAGTCTTTGTGCCATGGGGTGGGGGTGAGGGACAGAGCAGGAAGGTAGAAAAGAAAAAAGTATACTTTGGAAGAAAAATCACAAGTCCTGGAACTGGAGAAATAGTCTGGGGGTTAAGAATACTGGCTGCTCTTCCAGAGGACGTGGGTTCAATTCCCACCATGGCAGCTCACAACTGTCTTAACTCCAGCTCCAGGAGGACTCTGTTCTGCGCCAGGTGTGCATGTATCATAAGGACAGGCCTGCAGACAAAGCACCCACCCACATAAACAAATCACACATAAAACTTTTAAAAATTAAAAAGAAAAACGAACATTTGCAACTTTGAGGTGTAACAGCGGAGAAACCCCTCAATTCCTTGTGGCTGCCTCTTGGGAAGGTGAAGCAGCAAAGGAAGGAGCAAGTGGAGGCTTCCTCAGTGTGTGTGGGGATAGTCTACATTTTAGAAGGGCCAGACTTTGCACGGACAGCATTTTGTTTTGAAGGTTGGTCTCATGTGGCTTGTGCCCTCTGTGTTCCAGAGGTCTACGCTGCCAGTCACTTTACAGTCTGTGCCACGTGCTCTTATAATAAGGGACCTGTCCTGGGGGACAACCTGCTGGTCTAGAGCAACTGGTTACTGAACAGGGGCCTGTCCCCGCCCCCCCCCCCCCCCCCCCCCCCCCAGTACAGCAGAAAGGATGCGAGTGGCTGCCTACCCTGTATCAGCCTGTACCAAGACAGACAGATCTATGGATGGATGGATGGTTATTCCATTAGCTTCCTCTTTTTCACTGGTTTACTCTCTTCCAATGCTTTCTTCACTCCCAACTCCCTTCGTTGTGGGCTTCTTCTCCACCAGACTCCTTTCCCTTTCACGCTTTCTCAACACTTTCCTAACACTTCCCCACACTCCCGACACCCACTTCACCAAGCCTCCTCCTCCACTGATTTCACACCTTCGTCCATTTGATTTGCATCACTGTCATAACTTGAGTGTGATTAAAGTGCAAACAAACAAACAAAACAAAAACCGTGGAGAAAACCTACTACAGCAGTGACCGGGACCAACAGGAAGGAATGGGTAAAACTATGTAGGAAGAGTGTTCCCGCCTCTGTGAGGATGTGGGGGTGGGCCGGGCAGATGGAGAAGCCTCTGTCCTTAGACAGAATGTCTTAACAAAATAAACAGACCGTTTCTCCCATGTTAATCTGTAAATCAAACACACTTCCGATAAAAACACCCTCAGGTTTCTACAGGGTTAGGCGAGTTGATGCTGAAATTACACTGAAGAGAAGCACGGGGCAGCTAGGCCTTAGGACCCAAGTGGAGCTCGGTGGGGAGCAGCCCGTGGCTCCCTCGGGAAGCCAGTGATGGACGCAAGGGGCAGTTCAGAGCTGTGGTCCAGGGCAACCCCTCTGGGTCAGCGGTCAACAGGGTAGTCATTTGGCAGTACAGACACACCATTCGGGGTGTCTGTATTTCACACCACAGGGGATAAACCAAGCGTGAACACCGCAACCAAATGGGCGAACTCTTCGTCAATATTTGCTGTTGTTTCTTTTTTCTTGAGACAGGGACTCACTATGTAGCTGTTCTGGAACTCACTATGTAGACCAGGGTAGCCGCAGGTTCACAAGGAGCCACCTGCACCACCACACTCAGTGGCAAATTCCTGTATAACCTTCACACAGTGACTGTTTCTAAAAACAAAGCAAATATCATTAGCCCCATTGAAACTCAGAGGCAAGCAAGTTTAAGTTTGCCGAGACTTGCTGGCCAGCACTACAGCCTGCACCTATGGCATCTCTGAAAGACCTGTGTGTCAGAGGAAGGTGGGGAGACTGGAGAGGCGGAGTCTGGCAAAGGCCTTTGGATCAAGGAGGGGTGTCTTCCGAGACAGCACCCCAGTCTCTTCTCCTTCCTTTTAAGATGGGTCTCGTGTTAAAGGTCTGATTTTCTTGCCTCCACCGCCTGAACTCCTGAGTGCTGAGTTACAGACAAGTGTTCCATGCCTGCTTAACTTGTCGCCAGGCTTCAAACCTTGCCCATGCTAGGAAGCATTCTTCCAACTTAGCTATATCCCTACATGTCTTTCTCTTATTTTTTTTTTTTTTTTTTGCTGCTTGGGAGCGACCCCAGGGCCCTGTGCGTGTTATGTAAGTGCTGTGTCACCACTAGACCACACCCTGTCCCTTCCTCTCCACCTTTTCACTTCTCAGCCATAAAGAGTCAATTTGCTCTGCCAAGTCTTCTCTACCATGACACTATGTAAGACCAAAGCCATGGTACCCACGGGTCACCGATTGGGAACTGTGAGCCAACATAAACTGTCTTTATAATCTGATTATCGTTAATGTTTTTCAGAGTGAGGGAAAGCTGACTGGCAGTCATCAGCTGCTCGCTCGTCAGCACAGAGGGATGAGTCAGAAAGTCCCTACTGCCAGGTGCAGTGGTGCCCACCCGTAATCCAAGCACTTGTGGAGGCAGGAGGATTTCCATGAATTCAAGGCTTGTCTGGTCTACACAGCAAGTTTCAGGCCAGCCAGGGCTACATAGTGAGACCCGAGAAGGAAAGAGTTTCAATGTCTCCACAAGACACATTTTCATTGCAAATGTACAGCAGCAATGCTCAGTGTGGCTTAAACTTGACTAGGCAACTCTAACAATACTCTGTAACAGAGTCACCCAAACGCATTCTCCCAGCCTTACTTTTTTCTTTTATAAACTTTACTATATTTAAAAAAAAAAAAAAAAAAAAAAGACCATAGACTAGGGAATGGTGGCACATGCCTTTAATCCTATCAGAGACAGGTGGATCTCTTTGAGCTCTCAGGCTGGTCTACAGAGTGAGTTCCAGGACAGCCATGGCTACATAGAGAGACCCTGTCTCAAAACAAAACAATCATTTCTTCCATGTATAACTTAGTGCCTTTTTTCTCTTTGCAGGTCTCACCTGGCCCCAGGCTGGGGACCCCTGCTTGCTCTCCAGGCCAAAGGCTGCTCTAGCCCTTTATTCTTGGAGCAGTGGAGCTGGGGTGAGCCAAGTCTGAGGGGCACAGGCCACTCTGACATCCTTTCCATGGGGCCCTCATGCCAAGCCCAGGACCCAAAGCTTTAAAACATTTCCCACACTGCCTGAAACCTGACCCCACTCTGTGGTGAGAGCAAAATAGCTTGAATTTCTTCTCCCTTCCTCATACTTTCACAGATTTGTTTTTTTCCACAGGCCTTGGCAACCTGAGATGATTTAGTCTTTTCCTTATTAAGCTGAAAACGTGTACCTTTCCAGGGAAGGAATCTTTTTCTGGCTTCTCTGTCTGAGTTGGACAGCATCATTGTTTGTGCTTTGAGGCTTCGGGGCAATGTAAACACGAGCTCTGGATTCCGTGGCTGTGGATCTGATAACTGGGAACTTTGCTAAGAGGTTAACGTATGCAGCGTGGATACAATGGAGAATTCACACTCTGGGTTGGAGGAAGCCAACGGTTTTCAGATAGTTTAAGACAGGAATCAGTGATTTCTAGAACTTTCCCTTTAATATTCTTAGACTATTACTGCATATGGGTACCTGAGATGACAAATCAGGGGGAACCATTAAGTGCCTGACCTGACTATGGATATAAAAGGCCTCGCTGAAAGGTTCTGGAATCATACAGAAACTGAGCAGGAGTGGCTTCTAGGGAAGGCTGGAGCTTTCTACCTTCCTGCCTCAGGGCACACTTTAGTCATCTTTCATGGCTTTTATGAAGACTGGCAGAGCTGTGCAGCTGGCTCTGTGCCCTCTGGAGCAGGAAGGCATGAGTGTTGTGCCATTCTGCAGACCTGTCAGTCCCTGGGAGCTTGGGGTAAGGAGTAACACGGAAGCAGATTTTCTGAGAGTGGGGAGAGAGATGCCCAGGGCCCACTGTGCTCTGGTAAAGCAAGATCTGTTCCTCAGCAGTTGAGTGTCCACTCAGTTGCCTGCTCAGGCCTCTATTTACTCCAGACACTGAGTAACTATCACTTGTGTGATGCTAGGTATGGCGTGACCAGGACGTGGTCTTGAACCTTCCTGGACCCTCTGGCACAGGTGCTGTAACAAATGTCCACCAGGCTGGTGAGATGGCTCAGTGGGTGAAGAGGCTTGCCAGACAAACTCCCTTGGGAACTACATGGTAGCAAGAGAGCTGACTCTTGAAAGCTGCCATCTGGCCTCTACACGTGCACTGTACCAGTGCGTGCCTGAACACACATAAACAACAAACAAACAAATGTTACAGATGACCCCCAAACCTGTGGCTTTCAACAACGCAACTCCTATTGTACTTCTGGAATCAGTGCTAGCAGGGTCGGCATTGGCACGCTTTCTTACGGCTTTTCCTTTCCCAGCAGCTGGAGGCTACCATGTTCCTTCCAAGCTGTCCCCTCCAACTTCAAAAGCCTCACTTCAGGACCTTCCCATCTCCCACCCCCCTGCTCCTGGCATCTCGTGGCCTTTCCTGTCTGAGTCTTAGGCACAGCTCTCTAGGGACTGTGTGATGGCACTGGACCCTGTGGACCGTGATGCTCTCCATCTAAAGCTCCTTAGCCTGACCCCTCTGCCATCTGAGGTCACACGCCACGAGGACTGGATTACGAGCATGTTGAGGCTGTTAGTCAGTATGTGACAGACGGAGATAGAAGGGAGGCTAAGGCAGGCCTTCATCTGCCAGGCGGGCATTGGATGCAGGAGCGTGAGGGCAGGGCAGACAGGAAGAAAGGTTCCGTGTTCGCTGTGGCAGCAGAGGGCACCCGGCTCTTACATGCCAGCTTCCTGCTTGGTTGGACTGTGCCCGTAGCCTTTTGCCACCCTTCCTTCGAAGCTCTGGAGGAACCATCCCTGAGATGGGCAGTCACTGCGTGAGTGGCTCAGGGCCTCCTTGGTATGGATGATGCCACAGTGGCTCCACCAGGCAAGGCAGAGGAATGAGACGAGGCAGAAAGATGGCCAACTGTCACTTGGGTCTGCAGACACCTTCCTAGGAGGGATGGCCGCTGAACGGTCAGTGGGGTGGTCAGATGGAGGAGGAGGAGGAGCATTGGGATATAGAACTAGCCCCCAGCTCCAGGCGGCTTCCTGTGCGTGTCTGGGGTTCCAGGTGGGCTCCCTGAGGGGAGACCATGGCATTTAATGACTACCATGTTCTTGTTAGTTCAGCTTTGAGCCAAGATTTCTCTTGTTGCTCTGACTGGATGGGTGCTTGCTGTGTAGAGCAGGCTGGCCTCAGACTTGCAGTGATCCACCTGCCTCTGGTTCCAGAATTCTAGGATTAAAGGCATGCACAGCCATGCTTGGCTCACTATCACTTTCTGTAGAGGAATTTTAATCCAGCAACAGGGCTGTTGTAGCAAGGAATCATACAAAGACCTTCTGGGTCTATGTGATCTGGCTGGAATGCAGACAAGCTCTGGGTTACCATACAGTCTGGCTGGAGTACAGACATGCCCTTAGGACACCCTAACAGTGAAGGTTACGTTAGTTTGTAGATGGAAGCAGCCTGTTCGTTTGTGTTTGAAAACACATATTTGAAAGTGGTGTCTAATTGAGAGGCAGATGAAATGACAAATCAGAGAAAGATTTGACAGCATGAGTCAGAGAACAGCACAGCAAAGAAAGGCCACTTGAGAGCAGTGCAAGGAGAGAGAAGAATCTAGACAGGGGATGGTGTGTGTGTGTGTGTGTGTGTGTGTGTGTGGCAGTTTTAGCTGGATAGTTTTACAGAGACAGGTGGCAGAGAGAACAAGCCAGACACAGGGGAAGACAGAAGAACCAGAAAATGAGAAGGAGCCAGAAGATTAGAACATATTGCTGAAGTTAGTATGAGGCCAAATAGAGCAATTCAGTCAGAAGCCAAGAAAAGCCAGATTGAATCAGTCAGTCTGGAAGATTAGATTGTACTGGGGCTGGAAGCTTCCAGGCCTCGGCCTAGGGATAGTTAGAACAGAGAATGAAATTGTCTGGATCCAGCCCAAGTAATGTATTCACACAGCTTGGTGGCTCTTATCTCATCCCTTCATCTGAGGAAATAAAAGCGACATTTACAACTTTCTAATTGAATGTTCCAGGACATTCTAGCCTTGATGATGGTCTTTCCAGAAACCTCTCTGGCCTTCTGTGCAAGAATGTAAACCAGATCCTCACCTACACAAACCCAACCCTTCGCTGGACTGTGCCACAGCCCATTTCTTTACTCTAGACACTTGGAAAGAGCTTTGGCCATGACCAGAGTGCTGTGGAAGTTGTTCAGGGCATCTCTTCCCCTCAACCAGCCACCCTTTCCTGGGGTCACCATCAGAGACAGCAAATCCTAAGGGCCTCAATGGGAATGGGGGACCACAGGGTCTCCCTTAGCTTCTCCGGCTTCCAGGATGGGGAAAAGGTCACCACCTTCTCTAAGTCAGACAGAACCAGTCTAAGAAAACACAAGCTGGAAAGGCTCTTTCTTCAAGGCAGACATGGCCCTTTCATCCTGTCCTGCCTGTGCCTAGTTGAAGGACTGGGGACAAGAGTCAGGATCGTATCTTGCATACTACAAGCCAGGCCCTGCTCTGTCTGGACCTGCTCATGCAGATATTGACGGATGATCTGTTCCTGCCTCTGCCCCCACACAGGGACACTGACCCCCTGTATCCAGGACCCAGGGCCCATAACTCAGCTGCCCTATCCTGTGAGAGGATGGAGAGAGAGCTGAAGGCGAAGCCTAATGGACCCCAGCTCACAGACCAGGCCTCTGGGAGGATGTGTTAAGATGTGACAGGAGGGATGTGATCCAGGGAGCAGGGGGAGAGGAGGTGGGGGGAGGGGAAGCAGGTCTGGTGTAAGAGGAAGAGGCGGCAGGAATGTCGGGAGTAGAAGGGGCTCTTGGCCCCCATCTGCTCAACTGTTGGTTCACCTAGGTCATTGGTAGCCCAGGTTGGCCTGGTGACCAAGTCACATGAGGCAGGTCTTGCTCTTAATGGGCACTGTGGCTCAGCTGGGCTGTGCCCAGGAGACAAAAGCAAGCTCTACCCCTGGTTGGGACCCTCACCCTGAGTGTCTATCCTGATGCATTCAAGATGGACAGGATGGCCATGCGGGGTCCCACAGAACGGTGCTGGCACCCCGACCACACTTGAGGAAGGGCGACCAGACAGTCTTATGGGACCAGGAGGTCCCGTCCCCACGTAAACCCGCTTCACAGGGGTGATATATTTTACACCACTGACCTCAAGCTTGTCCACAGAAGACCACATGCCTAGAAGCACCACAAATGAAGCCAGGCTCGAAGCACACATCCCACTTCACCCCCAGCATTCCTCCCACAGGCTAAGAAACATGTTCATGCAAGTGCAGAGAGATTACGAGACGTGTGGGGACCTGACAGAGGTTTGGGGAAGGAGGCTGCTGGTGCCCAGTGTAAGGACATCCTACATCTTCTGAGGCCACGAGCAGAAGAAGGACTGGCCAAGGAGGGGGCGCTCTGCAGAGCTGGTGGGGTCTGGTACAGACGCAGGTGACAGGAGAGGGCCCAGGCTCTGCTCTACAGGCCCTGCCGGTGGCAGGTGGCACTGGTGTTGGGTCATCTAGGTTCCTGGTCCCAGTCTCTCACCTGACTTTGGGAATGTCACCAAGAGGACGTCTGTGTCCTGGAACTGGAAAGAGCAAGCCGCTTTCAGGGACTCTGGGGTATGCATGAACCCTGGGAAGCGGATGCCGTCGAAGATTTCTGTGGTGTTCATGCGCTCACTCATGCTGATGCTGGCAGGGGCCTGGCTGTTCATCCGCTCACTCATGCTTGTGCTGGCAGGGGCCGGGCTGTTCATCCACTCACTCATGCTGATGCTGGCAGGGGCCTGGATGTTCATCCGCTCACTCATGCTGGTGCGGGCAGGGGCCGGGCTGTAGACGAGGAAGTCTGTTACCCAGCGCCCAAGCTCTTTCCAGCAGGTGCAAGCCAGTCTGCCACTCCATCACTGAGATGTCAAGATAAGCCCACACCCAGGGGCTGCTGGCTCTGCTGTCAGGTGTCATTGCAGGACCATCTCAGAACCTCAGCCAGACCCGCCTGTCATCTGGGCCTAGGAAGGGCCCGGGCCCATCAGGGGATGTAGATTCCAGTGCTCTGGCAGTGCTGTCTGTCTGGCCATGAGAGGGTGGCCAGTAGCTTGGCAGAATTCTGTCCTAGCCACCAGTCCTTGGCCACTGGTATGCAGAGCTGCACCTCAGCAGTGGCTTATCTGGTTGTGGCATATTGTGCACATCCTTGTGGGCTTAGGAGCTGCTTGTCTCAGCCCCAAGCAGTAGAGGGAATGGTGGTCAAAGCCCTCCCCCCCATCAGGCAGGCAGATTGACCTTTCCCACCCACAACCCCCGCCCCACCCTCCAGTCTTCCTACATAGCCGCCCAGCCTGGGCTGACGGGAATGTTCTTACTGAACCCTGGAGCAGCCTCTGACGGGAGCCCCACCTCCCCGTTCCCTCCGGGATCCCCTACTCACCACAAAGTCTCTCTCTGAGTGCTGTGCTTCACTGTCTGCCCAGCCCTAGAGAACGTGGCTCAGGCTCCACTTGGGCAGCTCCAAAGAGGCTCCACCCTAGAGTTGCAGGGCCCTGGGGCAGATGACTGCAGGGTGCCCCGCCCCCAACCAGACCCATTTTGGGGAGGGGCTGGGAAGAGCGCCCCTGTAGGCAAGCAGTAACTGGATAATCTTCAGGACACAAGCCAGTTTGGAGCAGACTAAGTTGCAGCTTAACAGTGACTGGGCACAGCGCTAGTTTCCTGTTTGAAAAATGCTTCACTGTGGAGGCACTGGCCAGGAGGGGACCAGGAGGGGGCCAGGAGGAGGCAGTGCAGCAACCCTTTCTAGTATTCTGCCAACAGAAGGGGGCAGCTTCCTCTGCCAGCCTAGAAACCATGCTGTTTATGTAATTTTAACATGTGTGATAAGCAGTAGATAACAGTACAAAGCAATGAGAGAGCCCTAACAAAGTATGTCCATGAAGACTTCCTGCCACCCGGCCAGCCTCCAGCCACCAGACCCCTGGCTTCGGAACCCCTGGCCTCGGAGCCTCGTTAGGCAGCTGCCAGCAAGCACAGACATATCTTACTGCCTACAGTGCTACTTGGAGCCGCCATTGTCTCGGAGATGTGTATGCAACAAAACAAAACTTCTTCCATTTGCTTAGGAGATTTGGTTTTTGGTTTGTTTGGTGGGTTGGTTTTAGGTTTTTGTTTTTTGTTTTGGCCCATTTGCTGCAGGGGAGTGAGTGCCAGGGCTCCACTCTCTTACATTGTCTTACAGTGTAAAGAGAACCATTATCTACAAACACAGTAGCATCTGATTGTCCTTGCCTTTCCTTTAAAGAGTAACTCCATCCCTGATGCCTCTTTTCAGATTTTCCCAGGGGAATTCCAGTTCACCAGCTCAAACTCAGAGAGGCGACAGCCAAGTTCTCCACGGGTTCAGCCAAACTGATTTCACTAATTCACACTCCATGTGGGTACCACATGTAGGACAGGGCCTCCTAAAAACTCCCTTTTTGCCTCTTGACACAAACCTGGGTCCTCCCCAGAGAAAAGTTACTCAAGCTCGTCACCATCCCTCGCTTCATGTGCTCTCACCGTCAAATGAGTGGGCATACACGAGCTGTCTCCCATGTCCGGCTTCGTTCCCTCTACGTGTTGTTACGACATTCATCCGTGTCACGTGTGCAGACAGTTCCTTCACAGGGCTGTGCTGCGGTCCCTTGAACAGACGCTTGTCCACCCGCCCACGGTGTGTTTGCTGACTGCAGGGCTGTTTCTAGCTGGACTGGCCCTGTGGAGGTGTGACTCAGACAGTAGCCTGAGGATGGAGCTCACTTGGAGAGCTGCTTGCCTAGCAGTCTTGAGCCCCAGGTTAGGTCCCTGGCTCATGTGACACACCGGTGACACATGCCTACAATCCCAGCACTTAAGAGGTAGAGGAGAATAAAAAATTTAAGGTCATCAGCTATACAGTGAGTTTGAGGCTAGCCTGGGCTACATAAGACCCTGTCTCAAAAGGAGTGAGGGATTAGAGAGATGGCTCAGCAGTTCATAGCATTTCCTACTCTTGCAGAGGACCTGGATTCAGTTCCCAGCACCCACATGGTGGCTCACAACTCTCGGAGTTTCAGGGGTTTTTTATGGCTAGGACACTCTGGTGGCTATCAAGATAACTGCACCCAGCGGGTACAAATGCGTACTTGCAGGCCAAACACATACACCCCCAAATTCATATGCTCAAATCCTAATCCCCAATATGATGGTGCCAGGAGGTGGGGCTTTGGGAGGTTCTAGGCATAAAGCTCCCTGTGTTACTGTTGAAAGGGATTAGTATATTTATTTGCGTGTTTGTCTATCGTTACTTAGGGTTTTGTTTGTTTGAGACAGGGTCTCCCTATGTAGCCCTAAAACTCACATTCCTGCATCTCAGCCCAGGAAGTGCTAGGATTACAGGTGTGCACAATGAAGCAGAACAACGTGAGCGCCCCTTTAAGAAGATGCACAAGACCTTCTGTCCCCCATGTGACAATACAACCAGGAAGTGGTCGTTTATAAACCGAGATGTGGGTCTTCTTCTAGATCTTCCAGCTCACCCAGAGCTTGAACTTCCCAGCCCTCAGCACTGTAAGAAGTGGCGAGGCATGATGATACAAGTCTGTAATCTTAGCTCCCAGGAGAGGGAGGCAGGAGGATTGCAAGTTCATCTGCAGTCGCATAGGACGTTTGAGGACAGCCTGGGCTACAAGAGACCCTGTCTCAAAATCAGGAAGAGAGAGATGACTTAGCAGTTAACAGCACTTGTTCTTGGAGAGGGCTAGGGTTTCAACTCCCAGCACCCACATGGTGGCTCATGACAGTCTGTAACTCCAGTTCTGGGGTGTCTGATACCCTCGTCAGGCATCCGAGGGCCCCAGGTGCATACAAACACATGGGCAAAACACTAGTTCACATAGTAAAATAAATGAGCCTTTCAAAATTGTTAAGTACATTATGTACATGTACAAATGTCATAATGGAGACCATTATTTTGTATAGTTAGTCTGTGCTAATATAAACACAGAGAAAAGAAAAAAACCTGAAAGATAAACACATTGCTGTGTCATGGCAGTTTGTTGTAGCCACTCAAGACAGAGACTTAGGTGCTGAAAGTGTTTCTACATCAACAATATTTGAAGGTTGAGGTTTTGTTTGTTTTTTCTTTCAATTCTTTTGGTACTTCTGCAAACTGTCTCCAATCTGGTTAAATTCAGAGGGTGTTTAGAGTACTGATAGTGTATACTATGAGCTGGCAATAACACGTGAAAAATGTCCACATTGGCTGACAACTACTGGTAAGCCATTATAGGTCACAAGGAACATAGCGAGTGTCTATGTGGTACAATAGAATGCTGGGAAACTAGTGAGTGTGAGCTTGGCTAATGTTGCAGCACAAAAAAAGAATGAGCAGAGATTTGACTTTCCAGCTCAAGAAATATTAGTTGGAGCTGGGCATGGTGGCGCATGCCTTTGATCCCAGCATCTGGGAGGCAGAGGCAGGTGCTGGGAGTTCGAGGCCAGCCTGGTCTATAGAGCAAGTCCAAGGCTACAGAGAGAAACCCTGTCTCAAAAAACAAAGAGAGATGGACAGACAGACAGAGAGAGAGGTGGAGAGATGTACAACACTGAGAAGCAGAGAGAGGCAAGAGGATCATGAGTTTAAACCCAGCATGGGTTACCAGGATGACCCACAGTATTTCTTCGTTTATTTGAGACAAGATCTCTCTATGTAGTCCTGGCTGTTCTGGAGCTCTATTTGTAGACCAGGCTAGCCTTGAACTCACAGAGATCTTCCCGCCTCTGCTTCCTAAGTGCTGGGATTAAAGGTGTGTACCACCACACCTGGGCTAAGACCCTATTTAAAAAGAAAGGGCAGTGGGAACCGCCTCCGAGCTTCTAGATGTGCTGAGGAGACTCTGGGTCTGCAGCTGAGGGCAGGCGTTGCTAAAAGTCAAATCCAGACTCATCCTCAGAGTGAGGAAGAGTGGGGTCCTGGGCTGGGCTGGGCTGGGCTGGGCTGGGCTGGGCTGGGCTGGGAGCACGTAGAAAGATTCTTCTGACCTGCTAAATCGGGACTCTTCCTGAATAAAGGGCAGGTCCTTCCACCCCCGGGAGACCCACTTTTAACTGGACTTTTTGCTGCTGTGGCAAAATACTGAGAGAAACAACTCCAGGGATGAAGGAGTCACTTGTAGTTTCAGAGATTTCAGTCCATCAGAGTGGGCCAGTGTGGACAAAGAGGGCAGCACACACCATGAAAGCCAGGACATGCGCACACACACACACACACACACACACACACGAGGGAGGAGAGGAACTGCTGGCCTTGTCTGCCTGCTCTAACAGGCATTCTCCAGTTTTCCATTTATTCCACTGAAGCTGTCATCGTATGGCGCCGCTCCATATCCATGGTGTCTGTCTTCCCTATAACTGGGCTTCAGTCCCAGAAAGAGACAAATGAGGCCACAAGAAGGCACAGCACACTCCTGAGGAGCCACTGAGTGTGGGTGACACAATGGCCCACTTTGGAAAACAGCAGGTCTACCTTGGTCTAGGGAGCAGAGACCCACACGTGTGAGGACATTGGACTGTCAGTGAGCAGGCCTTACATAGGTCCGTGTTTACACACTCAGAGAGGCCGCAGAACACATCCTGGGCTCCACAGCTCTGTGAGAGCTAAGTCTGAGTAGAGGCTTAGATCTGAGGAGCTCCGGGCTGACTGGCCTGGGAAGCATGGGCAGGGAGCACAACATGGGTCCACATGACATGGGTCACCGCAAAGGAATCCCTGGACGAGGGCCTCAGACCCTTCATCAGAGAAGGATGAAACCATACTATCAAGATCTGGACCACTTTGGATAACTCACTCTGTGGAAGGGCAATGCCCCACAGGCTCAGGAGAGCAGCCTGTGTTCCTGAAGGCTGTGGCCTGTGACCTTGGACAGATAATCACGCCACCTGAACTTTAACCTTCAGACATAGCAGCAGGTGTGCAAAGGATGAGAGTTTCTCTCAGGCAACAGGTTTCGTGGCAGCAAATAATGAGAGACACCCCAAGCGGGCCTGGCAAAGAGGAGGCTGAGGCAGGGGGATTATAGCAAGCATGAGTCTAGCCTGGGCTATGGAGTGAGGGCTTGTCTCAGAAAACAAACAAAAACCAAGCAAAATTCCAACAAAAAATCCTAGGTATCCGGGCCCCTGAGAGGAGGCCGGACAGACTCTCAGCCATCAGCTCCCTGTGCGAGAGGCAGTTTCTTTTCTCAGTCTGTTGGACATCTTGTCTCTACCTGGGGCAACAATGAAGAGTCCTGCTATAACATACATACACACACACACACACACACACATACACACATATATACACACACATATATATGTAACATGTTTATATACATGTATATAACATGTTTATAATGTTTGTAGCAGGACATTTATAAACTGCCATAACAGCATCTGTGTGGATCTGCACATGTGTGTTAAGTACTCCTTCATGAACTGTAGTCTCACAGCTAAAATGTTTACCACAAAGAACCAGGAAACCTTGCCATCCTCATATGGATCAAGAGCAAACTTGCAAAGTTTGGCTGGCAGACCGAGGCCCCAGCACCCTAGAGGAAAAGGCCAAGTGCATCGCCGGCTAAGGGGCCGTCTCCAGGGCACCCACAGGAGATGTGGAAGCTGAAGAGAGAGGCGCTGCCCTGGGGACTGGTCTTCTAGTGCTTAAGGGCAAAGTTCTAGCACAAAGCTCCTCCTTCCTGCCACCTCTCCCTTCTCCCTGGCCTTCACGTCTTCTCTTCTCACCCTTCCTCCCCAGGGAAAGAACAGGGGGCGGAAATGGGCTAGCAGAGGTCTGGGAGGAAAGGCAGGTGGTGGGGTGGAGCCAGCATAAAGGAGGCCTGAGGAGCTGCTGAGGCTAGGAAGGCCTTTCTGGGACAGCCCTGGATATTGCTGGGGTGAGTGGGCTGGGGGTCAGAGGGTGGGTGAGGACACGGAGGGCGATGCCCTGGGGAGGTGTCTTCTGCAGGGAAGAGTTGTAGTCCTAGTTCTGCCGAGGAAGACCATTGGAGCAATGGCCTTCCATAGTCTGCTTCTCCTATGCCGTGCCCTTTGGTTCCAGTTTCTTCCTCATTCCTCTGATGTCCTCTTTGCCTTTTTTGTTGTTCCTTTTCTTTTCTTTTTCTTCTTCTTTTTTCTTTTTTTCGGTTTTTCAAGACAGGGTTTCTCTGTGTAGCCCTGTATGTCCTGGACTTGCTTTGTAGACCAGGCTGGCCTCAGACTCACAGAGATCCACCTGCCTCTGCCTCCTGAGTGCTGGGATCACAGGCGTGCTTCTTTGCTTGTCTTTAGACTCTCTGACTTGGCTCTTTGTTCCCAAAGCCTCTCTGGAGACAGGCTGAGGCCAGGTGCCTGTGTCACCCCTGTTCTGCAGCATTATTTTTCTTACCCAACCGAAGGCCGGCCCTCATCCTGCCGCTATGGGCTCTGCATGAAGAGATGTTTGTTGGATGTGGGGCTGTTTGAGAGGAGGAAATCCAAGCGCACTCTGTCAGCTTGAGCGGCAGCGGGACAGTGGCTGTGTGGATTCTCTCTGAGCTTGGAATGTTCTGTTCTCCTGCCACAGCAGTGCCACAGAACAGCACCAAACAGTTCAGGGAACGTTCCTCATGTGAGAGGTAAAGGCATGTCCTCTGCCGTGTCTTCCCTGGTGTCAGAGGCTGTCTGGTCTAGACTGGGTCTTTGGGTACCTCTGTCTGGTCACAAGAGCCCATCTCCTTCAGGCACAGCTCATTTAGAAAGCTCAGGAGGCAAAGGCAGGCAGGTCTCTGGGAAGTTGAGGTCATTGGTCTACTTAGAGGGCTCCAGGCCAACCAGCAAAGCCCACCCTAACAACGGCAAAAAGAGCTCTAACAGCAGTAAACGCCCAGGACGAGGGCTGAAGCCCAAGCACAGTGGAGGAATGAGTGCCCAGGCTGTGTAAGGCCCGAAAGAGGACACAGCATGGCCGCCTTTCAAGCCCTGGTGATTACTCTTAGGTTTGATTTTCTTTGCTTCTTGCTTTGTTTCATTTTGTTTTTTGAGAGGCAGAGTCTCTCTCTGTAGTCCTGGCTGTGCTCGCTCTGCAGGTCAGGCTATTTTGAACTCACAAAGATCAGCCTGCCTCTGCCTTCATAATGTGGTATTAAAAGTGGGCTACCACACCCAGATGAGATGAACTTCCCCCTGAGATGGGGTGAACTGCCCCTGAGATGGGGTGAGCTGCCCCTGAGATGGGGTGAACTGCCCCCCTGAGATGGGGTGA